AAAATATGGAGGTGCATGGATAAATAAATCACACAATTTATTCTGGAAGTTAGAATGTATGTGTAGTTGCTGTGTCTGAAAAAGTATATGGGAAAAAAATGGAAGATTAGGAAAAAATATTTATGCTGTGCTACACTGTCGTGGTTCAAAACCAGTCAGGCAGCTCTTTCACTCACTCCCCCACAACCTTCCTTCCCTCCCCCTGCTCCTGGAGGGACGGAGAGAAGAACCAAAAAGAATGCAACTCCTACAGGTTGAGATAAGAACAGTTTAGTAGCTAAGGTATAACACAAATCACTACTGCTACCACCAATAATAATAATGATAAAGGAAATAACAAGGGAAGAGAATACAACATCTAATCACCACTCCCCCCACCCCGCCCGACCGAGCACCAACTGATACCTCGTCCAACCCTGCAGTCCCCTACCCCTTCCGGCTAACTCTCAGTTACATCCTGGGCATGACGTCTGTGTAATGGAATACCTCTTTGGTCAGTTTGGGTCAGGTGTCCTGTCCCTGACCCCTCCTGGCCTTGCCTCCTCCCTGGCAGAGCATGAGGTTCAGAAAGTCCTTGGCCAGACCAAACATTTGAGCAGTAACTAAAAACATCGGTGCTATCAGCACCGTTCCCAGGCTGAAAGTCAAAAACACAGCGCTGCACCTGGTACTAAGAAAGAAAAGGAATGACTGCTACTGCTGAACCCAGGACATACACTGATTTTAGGGAGATGTGTATGCCTTTGTCCAAAATCTGTAGTAGGCAAGAGCCATAGGAACTCAGATTTCCTTAAACAGATTGGAAAGCAAGTAAGACAAGAAAGAGTTTTACTCTGTTTTACTCTACATTGAGCATTTTTATTATTTTTTTTTTTTTACGCTGGTCTCATCTAAAATGATGTGGGTGGAGTTTTTGTCAGCTGCAATAAGTGAGACAGCCTAATTAATCCATGTGCAATATATGCATGGATTTACCTCCAAGTAATGTTTGCTAAAAAATAAAAAACAAGACTCAAGGCTAATTATCTCATATCTAAATAAATAGCATTGTCATATTTAAAGCAACATATCAATGACAAATATAGTATATAACGTACAGAAAGCAATTTCATGCTTCACTTTCTCCTTATTTGCATTTTTAGATAAACAGTTAATGTCCTTCCAGGTGTTTCTGGATAATGTAGTTACTGGATGTAATGCTGTGTACTGTGCACACCTAAACTAATTAAATTCAGTAAAATACCATGTTTGTTGGAACAGACTGCCTAAACCAATCAGCTACATTAGTTAAATGCAAAGGTTTATCTGACTCAGTCTCTAGAGGCAGTCAATGGGGAAAATCTAGGGAAAATTTAGAGAAAATTTTTATAAGGATATTTCTCTAGAAATAGTCCCCCAGCCTTCATTCAATAGAGTGATTTCAGCATGTAAAGAATTTCTCTTTGAAGTTAATTTCAATATATTGTAAAGTGAAGAGAGAGAAACAATTTGCAAGGAGATGTTCTTTACTTTTATTAAGATATCCTATGTTTTGTTGAGAGTTGAATTCTGCTATAGTTAAGAGCACCAGTTTACTAGGCTGTTTTAGTAACTGCACAGGTTACAGGTGATGTGGTCCTACTTTACATAAATATGAATCTTTTTAAGGGGAAAATAATTAAAAATATTTCCTATATAATATTACACCGATAAATTAATTTTAAACAGCTAAACACAGACTTCAAAATACACAGCTTAGAATTTCTTGCTCATATTTTCTGTCAAGACCTACTCATTTCTTTATTTCCTGACACTTTTAGAAAGGAAATCGTTATGGAGAATGTCAGAATTTATAATATTTGCTGTCACCATAATCCACATGCACTTCCTTTCCTTTACCTTTTCTGAATTTCCTGGCTTGGAGTACTGCAGCAATTATCTTTATGTTTTTCAGCCAGAATACACTGAGAGTTTTTCTTCAAAGCTGATAATATAAATCATAAATTTAGTTGGTTTTGTCCTCTTTCATTATAGAAGCACACTTCCTACATCTTTGTTATACTCAGTTCTGTGTGCTAAATATGATCATTGGCACAGAATCAGCTGCTGACCCTAAAACCAAGTTACTAGACACTCAATATATGTCATCAAAACTGCATAACTATTTGAGATGTATGATTTTACCATTAATTGCCTGTGATCTCCTCAGATATTTTGGCCATATATAATCTGTTATTATCCCCTGAATCTGTATTAAAGGTTTCTTTTATCTTCCCAGAAATCTTTATGATACTTTCTTATATACAATTAATCCTTCCCTTCATCTTCCCTTTTTCCCTTCTTTGATGCTCCAACATCATCATCATGTTATATCCTTTGGGAGCACTGGAAAATCCAGACTACATTGATTATACTTAATGCAGGAGATTGATGCCCATAGTATGAGCATTTGTAGTAGACTTTATTAGTCAGCTATAATTTAACTGTAGCACTGTGATATGTAGCCCATGTGTTTCTGCTGTCAAACAACTGATCACTGTGAAGTATACATTTATAGGAGAGGGTAAATACATACAATAAAGGAATTCTTTGACAAAACAAACTTTGTAAACATTTTTTGCAGAATGTTTACACAAATATGTGTAGCTCGAGCACATTTAGCACTTGCCATTTGAACTTACATCCTATTCTTTATGTGCACCACAGGAAATTTGTCCCCTTCTACAGTATGTAAAAGTTCTGACTGGGCTGGGCCAGTCCTGTTGGCAGATCCTCTGGTGTTGACCAACCAGGTGGCCTTTGGTAAATGTGTATCTCAGTGTTTGAAAGTTCCCCCACCCATTGCTCTCAGTGTAGTTTTTAACAGCCCATTGTACCATGCGATTTTCTCAGAGGCTGGTGCATGGTAGGGGATGTGATATACCCACTCAATGCCGTGCTCTTTGGCCCAAATGTCTATAAGGTTATTCCGGAAATGAGTCCCATTGTCTGACTCAATTCTCTCTGGGGTGCCGTGTCGCCACAAAATCTGTTTCTCAAGGCCCAGGATGGTGTTCCGGGCAGTGGCATGGGGCACAGCATATGTTTCCAGCCATCCGGTGGTTGCTTCCACCATGGTAAGCACATGGCACTTGCCTTGGGGGGCTGGTGGGAATGGGATATAATAAATCTGCCAATCCTCCCCATATTTGTACTTCAGCCATCGTCCTCCACACCAAAGAGGCTTTAACCGTTTGGTTTGCTTAACTGCAGCATGTTTCACATTCATGGATAACCTGGGCAATAGTGTCCATTGTTAAGTCCAACCCTTGATCAATCTTAGCAGCTTTATCTACTTGTTGGTTGTTCTGGTGTTCCTCAGTGGCCTAACTCTTGGGTACATGAGCATCTACATGACATACCTTCATCACCAGGTTCTGCACCCAGGCAGTGATATCTTGCCACAGTGCAGCAGCCCAGATGGGTTTACCTCTGCACTGCCAGTTGCTTGGCTTCCATTGCTGCAACCACCCCCACAGGGCATTTGCCACCATCCATGAGTCAGTATAGAGGTAAAGTACTGGCCATTTTTCTCGTTCAGCAATGTCCAGGGCCAGCTGGATGGCTTTAACCCCGGCAAACTGACCCCATTCACTCTCTCCTTCAGCACTTTCTGCAACTTGTTGTTGGGGAATCCATACAGCTACCTTCCATCTCTGATGCTTTCCCACAATATGGCAGGACCCATCAGTAAACAAGGCATAATGCTTTTCACTTTTTGACAGTTTATTATATGGTGGGGCCTCTTCAGCCTGCATCACCTCCTCCTCTGGTGACATTCCAAAACCTTTTCTAAAAAATTGACTGCTACTGCTAAACCCAGGACACTTGGTTTCTCTACCTTCTAGTTTGTGACCATCAGACCCATTGTCCCAGCATCGGAGCAACCAGGTGATGATGTGCTCCTTTGGTTGATGGGAAAAACCTTTTTACATATTCTGTAGCACGTTCGCGGCCCAGGGTCGAGAAGTCACCCCTTCTTCTTCTTCCTCTGATTCATGTAATAACAGCTCCTGCTCAGATGCTGTACCGGGTGGTGAGTACATTGTTTTTTCATTTTGCTTCATCTTTCTTGCCTCTTTTTGATTTTCCCCTTGTGTACAGGGGCAACCGATATTGACAAGAATTTGTCCTCTGGTTTAGCTGCAGTGACTATCACTGTGGTTGGAGTGGCTGCAGTATCTGTTCTCGGGTTTGGGGCAGCTGCTGTACTTGTTGCTGGGGCTGGTGTAGCTGCTGTGCTTGGAGCTGGAGTAGCTGCACTGCCTGTTGTGGTTGGAGTTTGGGTAGCTGCTGTACTTGTCACTAGGGTTGGTGTAGCTGCCGTATTTGGAGTTGGAGTGGCTGTGTTGACTGTTGCTTTGCCATCAGATCCAGAGACATTTTTTCCCTTTGAAGGTGCTGGATAGTGTTGAACAGGGCTCTGTAAGCATAGGCCAAGCCCCGGCACGTTGTAATGATTTGTCCTTCTCTGTTATGACCAGGAGGACAATACACCTCATTTAAGTGTTTTACTAATTTACTAAATCTCTTGGTTGTCATATATCATCGTCTAGCCCTAGACAAAACCCAAACACAACACTACTTAACTTTCAAGATCAGACAAAATGGTCATGGGTCAAACATACGCTGTATGTGTGCAAACATGGTGATCCCCATCACAATCAGCAGGCAGGTCCCAAGGGTACCCAGAGGCCATTCAAAGCCTTCAGAACTCTCAAATGATGCTGTAAACTGTCTGGTTGGGGGGCTGGGAAGATAAGGGAATGTTTGCTTCGCAGGTTGACCACCCAAGGAGGAGAAAAAAACCATGTATAATTGCTAAACAGTTCTACTATATAACTCCCAAAGTGTACTGGTGGTGACCACACTGGGAACACAAGCCAGATCAGTTTCATGATCGATGAGTCTATTGTATTATAAGTCATTACCATAAGGTACAAGGAAACAAGAACCTTAGCCCAAGGCCCCAGCCAATGAACACTAAACCAGCAAATACTGGTTGTAAATAAGGTACGACATGCTGAAACTCTGAGATCAAGAGCAACAACTTTGAGATAAATAAATCAATCAATAAATAAATCAATAAATCAGCATTGTGACAAGTGAATATTAATCTGAAACAATAAATGCTTATCACAAATGCAATTAGACACACTCCTATCAGATCTGTCATTACCTTAACACTTCGTGCCCCAAACATCGATGTTATCAGCATTGTTCCCAGGCTGAAAGTCAAAAACACAGCACCGCACCAGCTACTAAGAAGGAGAAAAATAATGATTGCTACTGCTTAACCCAGGACAGAGACCAGGCAAGGTGGACAGCTGCTCAATTTCCTCAGTCTCCAAAGCAGCAATACCAAAAGACTATTGTTGCCCATTTTGGTCTTTGAAGTACCCTCTCCTGAGGTAGTCTATGCCAAGGATGCATGGAGCCTCTGGACCAGTCACAGTAGGGTGCTTTTGCCATTCCCTCCCAGTCAGGCTGATTTCATCCTCCAGTACAGTCAACTCTTGGGATCCTCCTGTTACTCCAGAAGTAGAAATGGGTTCCACTCCTTGACAGCTTGATGGCATCTGGGTACACTGTGCACTGGTATCCACTACAGCCTCATACTCCTGTGGGACTGATGTGCCAGGCCATCTGATCCACACAGTCCAGTAAATCCGATTGTGCCTCTTCTCCAACTGGGTGGAGACAGTGCCCCTCTAATTGTGATTCTCCACTTATGTCTTCTAGTGCAAATGGATTAGAATTCCAAACCCTTTAGAATTCTCAAATGCTACTGTAAATAGCCTGGTAGGGGAGTGGGGTGTGTGAGGGAATGTCTCTTTTGTAGGCTGACCCACCGTGGCGGGAAAAAAAGATGTGGATTCCTGAAAAATTGCATTATATGCCTCACAAAGTATAGGGGTAATGACCACGCTGGTAAATGCAAACTAGACCAGTTTCATGATCAGTGATTCTACTGTATTGCAAGTCATTACCATGTCATACAGCAAAACAATGTTAGCCCTGGACCCCCAGCTGATAAACACTAAAAAAGCAAATACTGGCTGCAAGTAAAGCATGACATGCTGAAACCCTGAGCCCGTGCACAACAACTCTGCGAGCAAATAAATCAGCGTTGTGATTATTAATCCAAAACAATGAATGCTTATCATGTATATGCTTAGAGACAGTCTGGTCAGATCTGTATTTATCTCAACCTTCAAGCCCCACTTTGGGCACCAAAAAGAACTGTCACTGCTGATGGGAAACTTAACATGAGGCGGCAGTGTGCATTAGCAGCCCAGAAAGCCAACCATATCCTGGGTTGCATCAAAAGGAGCGTTACCAGCAGGTCGAAGGAGGTGATCCTGCCCCTCTACTCTGCTCTCGTGAGATCCCGCTTGGAGTATTGTGAGTAATTCTGGTGTCCTCAACATAAAAAGGACATGGAACTGTTGGAACAAGTGCAGAGGAGGGCCACGAGGATGATCAGGGGACTGGAACAGCTCCCATATGAAGACAGGCTGAGAAAGTTTGGGCTGTTCAGCCTGGAGAAGAGAAGGCTGCCTGGAGACAAAATAACAGCCTTCCAGTATCTGAAGGGGGGCTATAGGGATACTGGGGATGGATTATAGGGACATTAGGGACTGTAGTGATAGGACAAGGGGTAACAGGTTAAAACTTAAACAGGGGAAGTTTATATTGGATATTAAGAAAAAGTTCTTTACTGTGAGGGTGGTGAGGCACTGGAATGGGCTGCCCAGGGAAGTTGTGAATGCTCCATCCCTGGCAGTGTTCAAGGCCAGGTTGGACGAGGCCTTGGGTGAGATGATTTAGTGTGAGGTGCCCCTGCCCACAGCAAAGGCGTTGGAACCAGATGATCTTAAGGTCCTTTCCAACCCTAACTATTCCATGATTCTATGATTCTATGTCATGGTTTAAGTCCAGTCAGCAACTCAGAACCATGCAGCTCTTCCCCTTTCCCCCCCCCCCCCCCCCCCCCCCCCCCATCTTCTGGAGGAATGAGGAGAAGCACAGAAAGAATGTACTTGTTCCAGAGTTCGAGGATTCTGGGTTGAGAGAAACAAAACACAATAGAGAAATCACTAGTTTATTAATAGAAGAAAATATAGAGATAATAAAAGATGCAGTAAAGGATATTTCTGATGTCTGGTTATCTTACCAAACCCAAAGACCATGTGATGAGGATCAGGAAACCAGCTCCCAGAAACATCATTACAGTGCGAGGTGGCGGGCTCAACCTTAGTGGGCATCCCTGCAGAGGCAACGTTGACCTAGGTGGCATGAGGCTCTGCTTCCCTGCATTGCATGAGGCTCGGGCTTTTATACTAGTGAAAATGCACTCTCATTCTGATGTACGGGGCCAGCCTACCCTGGAAGGAGTGGCCAGCTATACAAAAAGAGTCTCTGGGGGCTGGGGACTTTTTTCAGGGATTTCCAAAGCGGGACTTTCTGGGGAGGAGCTACCATGGACCATTACCTCATGTGTCAGGCTCATCTAACGCATGCCACCCCTTGGTCTATGCATGGATCTGTATGAACTTCCAACAGAAAAACAAGTTGGGTTATCATTTGTTGAATACAAGAGAGTAACAAATGTATACAACATACAATACAACAGAATATTAGTAATAATAAAAGTCCAAAAAGGAATAATTTTTGGAGCCAAAGCCATTCTCATTGGAGAGTACTGAAGGGATTCCAGCGATGATCTACTTGCAGTTGCTTAGACAAAGCTTGCAAATCTGCTAAATGAGTGTGAATTGATTTAGAATGATCAGACAAATTCATACAGTACATGCTGTCAAAATCTTAACAGCCATGTCCCTGAGGTAATCGGAGAAAGTCAATAGCCTCTCTACTCTGAAGAATGACATGTTGAATTGAGTCAACATCTGTTTTAAAATCTTTGCACAAAATAAATTAAGAAAGGTGAGAATAAAGATTTTTTTTTTCAGATCAAAAAGTGGATTTGATTTAAACTTTAATTAAAAAAAAAAATAAGGAAGCCAATGTGGTCACTCCATCATAAGCCACTAGATTAGTCAGGAGATATAAGTATATATATATATATAAATGAATATACATAAAATATATAATGTTCAAAAGTTCAATTCCTTTTCTCTCTAAGTTGTTCTTAAACCCCACACTTATTTTCTCTACCATAAAAAACTTGACATCTCAATTGAATGTCCATGTGTACTTGAAATGTGACTTTTCTTCGGGAAAAAAAGATTTAAATATAAAGGTTCTTCCTGCAATTTCTTTCATATTCAATGGAGAGAAACAGGCAGCCTCGCAGCACAAGTTCTGTGTCCAAATGTAGACACCTTTCTCAGAATAAGATTAATCTCACTGCAAAGAAATTTATTTGTCAAAATGCTTTGTTCAGACCGAGAAATAAGAACTTTGACTGTTACAGCCGAATCTCTTCATTAAGTCATTATTTTGTCTCACGTGCGTGACAGTGTATGCTAGACTTCACAAATAGATGTTGTCCCAAAGGAAGCTAGTTCTGAAGTTCATGGGGAATGAAAAGTAAACACAACAGTCTTGCTCTCTACTAGTCCATGCACTTGTGAGCATGGCTAGAGGAAAAGTAAGAAGCCTCCCTCCCCCCAACTCCTTCTTATGGTTTTTCATCCAGTTTTAAATACTGGTCATAACTCTTGTGGAAAGGATGAATGACTAGGTTAATAAAGATGGTATCGGTTATGTGGCAAAAGATATAGAAAAATATGAGCAGATAACAAATTCTGAGAAATACCACTTTTTTGCTGTCTTTTTACAAATGAATGGTTTCATAATTATTTAAGTGTCCTGGTTTCACTTACTGTTGTGGAGAAGAAGCCAATCTTCTCTTTTACATAAACATGGAGAAAAATGCATGCAGATAGTAAAGGATAATCAACTAAGGTAAAAAGAAGAAAATACTTTTCATTTCAAAAATCCATCAGCAACACAAAAGGCTACAAACACATACTGTACTCAGTGTTTTTAAGAGGTACAAGAGTTCTTTACCTTACATAAAATCATATAAATATGCATGCCAATTAAGAGTCAACAACACAAAACCCTTAGGTTTTCTGGCTAACAAGGCATATCTTCTGTACTATTAAACATAATGAGTGAGCTCAACCTGGTTGCCTATAGTGTTTGATTATTGTTTCACTTCCTCACTCTGTTTTGGACAACACTGCCTGTCTCTCTTCAGGATAAACAGATGAGGTATTTAGGAGGCCCTGTGTAGCAATTATCTCATCAAGACAGCTGGTCTTGAGGCATGGATAAGACCTTGGACTCACATTTTAGTAATCCAAAGTCCAGGAGACACTGCTACCACTTTTGATTTACCTTATGAATGAGAAGCCTTGAAATGTTATACACTAACTGAACAGCTTGATCTTCAAACTATGGTCTTTGTAGAGACTTTATAGAGACTCTGATGCCCATCCATTTAAATTATTAACTGGATATGAAATTGAACCACAATATGATTCTTTAGCTAAGTGGTTAGGGTAGATTCGATCTTCCACATCCCTTCTGAAAGCGGTTGTCCAATAACAGTTGGCTTTTTGGAGTCAGTCTGTCCCTGTCTCTCACCAGATAATTCATTTTATTAAAAAAACAATTTCCAATATCTTTTTATATAAAATATATATTCCTATAAATATTTTCTGACTTGGTAGATCAGTGTGATATAATGAAAGAAACAGTCATTGAAAAATTCCTAAGACAATCTAATGTTTAAAGAAAGGTCTGACTGGCCACTGTATTCTTGAAATTCCCTATTTATTTCTAAAAGATCAGACTTAGTACCATATATTCACTTTTTTTTTCATAGGATCATACAATGGCTAGGGTTGGAAAGGACCTTAAGATCATCAAGTTCCAACACCTCTACCATGGGCAGGGATACCTCACACTAGATCATGTTGCCCAAAGCTCTGTCCAACTTGGCCTTGAACACCTCCAGGGATGGAGCATTCACAGGTGACAAAAAATAATTTCCTTTCCATAAGCAGAAGTGCCCTACACTACAG